CAAATGCTTAGGGGTGTGTACGGGCAGGTATGTAGAAATGTGAAATATTTACCGTTAATGCTCAAATATATATATGTGTGTGTGTATGCTTACTGCGAGGAGAAATGATTGCTTGTCGTTGAAGTCATCTTTTATTAAAAGTATGTGCAGGGTTTTTTTTTTTTGTGTGTGGGTGTTTGTTTTTTTTTCCCTGGAGGTAATGCTTTTTTGAAGTCATAACCAGTCTTTGAGTCCTCTGCAGTCTGCTAAAATCCCTGGAGTTAAATAGCTGTAAGCAGTACCTGTGCTCAGTACCGCTTTCAAAGAGGAGTTAGTTAAAAACCTGGGGTGAACTTCTGGCTGTTAAAATGCCTTACTTTTTCCCAACGTACTTTTTCTTATGGCCAGCGCTTTCTTCAATGTACCTAGTTAAAAACAGACAAACAAACAAACTTGCACTAAAAGTGGGAGAACTTGTCCCCACTGCTCCTGTTTGTTGTTATACATTGTACAAGATTGCTTTGAAGTTTCAGAGGAAGTCATGACTAGGCATAATCTCAGTGGTTCTTTAATTGCATAGATTTTCTTTATTCACTAAATTAGTTTATAAAGCAAAAGCTGTTTTGAACGTCATTTCTTATGTGTGTTATTCAGGTGCTGTTTCTTGTGAAATAATCCAGCAAAATCCTATTTTCCCCTCATCTGTTTTTACTGAACCATGGTAGTGTGAATCTTGTAAATACAACAGGGGTTGTTTAAAAGCACAGATAAAACTAAATATTATTTCTTTCTGGTTGAAAATATTAACATGTAGGTATTGAGCTGCATAATATTCTCCACAATCATTTGAATGCGTCTCGCCTGGGCTGAATATCAGATTTTTTTTTTTTCTTAAAATTGTTGTTCATGTATTTTTAATTATTTGTGAAACATGGTTGGGTTTTTTATGTCTCTTTACTGCTGTTTACTTGAAGGGCAGGTTACGCTAATGTGTTAGTAGGAACAGTTGTGCTTCATTTAATCAGGTGGCTCGTTAGCTGAATTGGTCAAACCTGGATTTGGTTTCTATATCTGATTAGGATTGCTTTTTATCTGCAGAACAGCTTGTTTTCTTACAGCAAATTTAAAACAGCTGGATATGCTCCTGGATAAAATAATTAGTTAAAAAGATTCTTAAGGAAAGATTTTTAGCTACATTAGATTCCTAATTTGACTTCTGTATTCAGAGGCTATGCAGTAATCTGTGTCTTAATCTGTGGACTCAATGAATTAAGTCTTTGAGGAACTAATGCATCAAAACCAAGTTTTTTTTTTTAAAAAGTTATCTATTTTGGAGAAAACTTTCCCCTTTTTTTTAATATAAAGTCAGAAGTTTGTTCTTTGTCACTTTCTTGGTGATATCTAGTAGCTTCCTGTGTCCACTGGAAGTAGAATCTTTCCTGTTAATGATGCTTTTAGCAGAGTGAGGTATCATGTTTCTTAGGAAGCTTTGTTATGTTCAGAATTATGGAAAAAGCGGCTTTTCTGCTCTTGCAATGTCTACTTGCAGGGCAGTGTCTTTCCAAGTGGACTTTCTACGGTTTGAGTAGGAGGTACGTTGATGGCAGAGTACTGTAGTACGAAAAGCAGAGCTTTACTTCAAGCCTAATTTTGTTTTCAAGTCGGCGACAGAATTCCTGTCAAATGTGGCTGCTGAGGATCAAAGTTTGTATATTAGTTTAATCTTCCATAGCAAACAGTAGTGTTTGACACTGGAGAATTCTTTATGGAGCTATAAAATATTATACTTGGCCAAGCTACCTGGGATATTTAAAAATTGTATGTACCAATTCTTCAGTTTTCACGAGTCATGAAATATAATAGAATTGTCTCACTTCAAGTAGAAGGATAGGGGAAACGGCTGCCTAATGTTATATTTTCATTTCTTAAATTCATTCCTTGGATAAAAACAATTTATTTTGAAAATGGATATTTTTTTTCTTTGCCTAAGAAATATACGTATTTTGTTTTATCTAGTATCATTGGTTCTGAGAAATGGACAACAGCATTTGTCAAGTTTATGAAGAGGAGATCCGGTCACTGGAAGAAGAAATTAAATTATTGACTGAAAAGTATGAAGATGGGCAACAAGAATCTACCTTTTTTTCTGACCAGGAAATATTAATGTCAATGTATGTCTTTGTTCACATGTTGAGTTAATAGTGTTTCATTGTCAAAATTGTTTAAGATAAACTTTTGCATCTATGTTAGTACTTTCTTATGTTATTTTTACATTGCTGATCTTGTTTAAGACATGGCCTGTATATAGTAGTAAGAGATTACTAATAAGCAATAGTTGATCTCTTTTCACTGCTTTCTGTTGGTAGTTTGTCGGGTTTTTTTAGGAGTTGGTTAGTTTGTTTGTTTTTTAAAAGGCAATCGTAGTGGTCAGGGCACAGTGTCAGGTATGTTCCTGTGCAGGCCCTGCAAAGTTGTGGCCATGTTTTCCATTACACACTGTGAAGCAGCTCAGTGCACATTTACTTGAAAAAAAAAAAAAAAAGATGAGGATTGGGGACACTGTATGTGTAAATTGTTATATGCTAAGGAAGTGTCATATTAGGGCTTTTTCTTTCCATTATTTAACTTATATTGTATAGTAAATGTACACTCCGTAGATGAAATAAGTAATTTAGATGAGTAAAGGCATAACAGCTCATTTCTGTTGTATGTTCCTCGAAATGAATACTTGCATCTCAAGACTTAAAATAAAGGCTGTGTCTACACTGTGGCAGTGAACATAAACTATTTATGTAAGTTAGAATAGTTTACTGTTCCTAGTAATATGATCCAATTGAAATTTGACTCATTGAAAACTGGTCTTGGTCTGAAAATCGTCAGATCACATTACAAATGGCTTTTAATTATATTGCTGTAACGATGTGACAAAATACGTTCTTATGTCTGGATCTTTTGCCCTTTTGATTTTTTTTTTCCCCTTTTTCAATTTTAGAAAATCATTCCAAAGAGAATTTCAAGGAGGATCTAAGGGACATGAATCTCCATCAGACCTGAAAGCTCAACTTGAAAGTCTAGAAACAGATCTGTCATTTTTAATGAAATTTACTGGTATTCAGTTCACAAGTCATTCCAAGAAAACAGTGGAAAAAAGTAAGCATTTTTGTGCTCTTTACTGCTGCTGTACTGAGCATACTGTTTCAGTTCATTACGTTAAGAAATGCATGTTGTAATTCTACTTTCAACGTTAGTGGAAGAACATTTTGAAATAAAGCAGAATTTTCTTTATTGACAAAATAGTTTCTGAGTAACTATAGTATTTTGCGTAGTGGGAAAGTGAACGACTACTGTGAAGTTAGCTTTTTTGGTTTATTTAACATAATTAACTTTATTTATATGATGTATGATATCAGTTGGTACTTCAAATGTGACTAATGGAAGAAATGCAATAATTGTTGAATAGAATTATAATCAAGTATTTTATTAACTTTATTTTATAACAGCTAGAAACAGAACACTGCAGAAGCACAGGTTATTAGGGAGTTGCCACTCCCTGTCTTTTCAATTGGAATTCCAGCTTCTTGAAATGCAGGTAAGGATCAATGTATGTTTAAAAGAAAAAAAAACATAAAAACCAACAAGCAAACAAACAAAACTTAAAATGGACAAATGCTAATACTTCCTTTTCCAGCTAAAACCTCCAACTGGTATTTTGTCATTTTGATTGCCTGGGTTGTCTTAATCCAAGTCTCAGTGGATCATTTTCACTCTGTAACAGCCAGACCCAACTTCGAATTCCATGTGCATCCAGGCAAAATAGTTCTAAAGGTCAGGTTCTGCATTCAGTCACAAAATTCTTACCATGTTCTCCTATAGTCAGATATCTTGTTCTGGAGACTTGGAAATTCTGAACCTTACCTCTGTGGAGGAAACTGAGGAAAAGCTAAAATACTACAAACTTGAACAATTTTTTTTTTTTCACTGTGGTTATATTTCTATTTGCTTGGCTAGTGTGACTAGCTGTTGCATCAGAAGTTAAACTAATGATTACAGATTTTTTTGCAAGGATGCTCTTTCATAAGAATCTATTCTTAGCACAGCATTCAAAATAAGCAGTGGAAAACAACTGCTACCCCAATTTTTAATAATGTACCCCAATTTGGCTTAGTATTTTTGACATGAGGAAATTTCCTTCTCAAGAAAACTTGATTTTCAACTCAGCTTTAAAGGTATTTTTAGATTGAATGTGATTGGACCTGATAGTATTAAACACTTCTTTGCTATGGAAAGATGTCCTTCGTCATCTTAAGAAAAGCCAAATTATGAATTTAGGAAATGAGTATTTAGGTAGTCACGTGTGGCTATCATGATATGAAACTACTGCAGGAGTTCAGTTGAATGAGGTTATTCTGCAACCTCTTGAGTCCATGCAGGACTTGTGGTCCTAGTGATACCATTTGAGCATTTGCTTGTATAAAACTGCGTTTAGCTTTGAGCACGGAAATACCCTGCGTCAGTCATGTGACTTGGCTAGGTGAATGTTTATTTTTCACCTGTCTGCTTCTGCAGAGTGATGACATCTTTTCGTGTCAGTGGAGCTCAGATGAGCAACTGGATGTGGTGTGTTCAAAGCAGCATTGGTGGTGCTTGAATCTGTGACACCGCTAGATGACAGCACTTGTCTGCGCAGTGCCTGAAACTTGTATTACTTCAGTGCTGACAAAATACTGTATTTAGAGGGATCGATAGAATACCAATTGTGTATATTTAAAACACTTCAGTTGAAAAAATATAATTTTGAGTTAATTTTTTTGCATGAATTAAGTTTTTTAAAATAAAAGCCCATGGCACCTGTAACTTACAATTTAATATGCCATGCAGATGATGTATCAGTTTACCGTAAGATGATAAACTTTGAATTGCCAATTTGTATGGTGTGGGTTGTCGTCATGGTGTGGAAAATGGTAAATTAGTTAAATGAGTTAACCACTGAGGAGTACAGTTTTTAATTGTGCCATAATATACGGGTTTTCTTTTTTATTTTTGGTGTTAAAAACCCAAGTCAAGAAGTACGCTTACTATTTCAAACACAGGCTGATTTCTGTTCCTTTACTCATTTTTTGTGATTGTAGATGAACTTGAATGCTATTAGAGGTTTTGCATTTACTTAAATATTAATGTTTTAGCTGCTGTACAAACCATAATGTAATGGTTTGGTTATAGTTGTAAAATGCACCCATTTTGTACAGTTATGTATGTTTGTTTTGTTAGAACTGCTTAAATCAAATGGATTTTGGGACAATTTAGTAGTTCAAAAGTTCAAGCTTAAGAATTGTATTTTTAAGAATTGCACTTTTGTAATTTACGTGATTAAAAAAAAAATTATCTCTTCCATTTCTTCATAGAATCATAGAATGGTTTGGGTTGGAAGGGGCCTCAAAG